ATGTCTATCACTAAGGTTAAAGTTTAAATCAACTTTGAAAAGAAATTCCTAGCCTTTTATTTATATCGTCTATTTACGCACGTTTTATGTCTAATTCTGATCTCTTTTTCACTGAAGTAACCAATAGTTTTGTTTTGTTTTAAATAAAACTCGTTTTATTATTAGATTTAATCTTAAATTCAACTTTTTTTTTTTTTATTCATTCCAGATGAGCGCCTAAAAAAATAAATTTTAACAGCTTGAGAATTTGTCGTTTACCTATTTAAATATATGCATGAGTGGGTAATTAAAATGGATGACTGTTTAATAACATGAACGAAAATCGTTCATGTAAATCAAGCTCACAGAGTATTGCTAAGATACATTTTTTTTTCTTGATATAACAAAGTCTATTATTTGAATGCACTGCAAATTGGTTAGAAATGCCGTGGAAAATGTCACAAACAGGAATTACCCAATATACTCACGTATCATTCGACTTTTGAAGTTAATGTCATGGGGGGGGGGGTTGTATCATACTCGTGCATCTTTATACCGGGATGGAATTAACCCTGAACTAACGCAATTTATCAGTCAAGCGAGGTCAGAAAATAATCTAGTTAATATACCAAAGTCCTATTATATAAAAAATGAGGCATTAATGAGACCGAGAAAACCCCATCAGAGCCCAGATTCTGAAGACTGGGAAACTTGTGAACAAATTATAGTTCTAAGAGTTTATTGGCGCAGCATATTAAAAACATTTGACAACAGGTCATTTTTTTTTTTAGGATATTCTTTTTATAAACAGACTGGGTTCTATAGCCTTGGGTGGTAAAAGGTCTAGAAGAAAAAAAATAACACTGAATTCAAGACCAGCCTGGAGAGGATTGAGCTCAGTCAGCCTATCTTGCGCACGAAACACCCCTGCCACAGTTGCAGTACATATGGTACCCCTACGACCTTAATGGGTTACGGGTCTCGTCGTCAGTAATTTTATTTCCAGCTTTTATTACGATTATATATTTATCATTTACTAGCAGGGCTACCCGACGTTGCCCGTGTATAAGAGCAAAATAACACCAATATAACAATTCCTGATGAACAATATATAACAACACTTTTTTAGGAGTACCTTATTTTAACTAAAATTTACATGTTATTTTTTTTCTTTTTTTAACTAGTATTCAGCATGTAAATATCTTGATTAATTTATTTTAACCAATTTTAGTTAAATGTTATTTTTCTTAGTTTTTAAACGAAATTTCTTAGATTATTAATCAGTATCCCAAATTATTCATACCGTATTTTAGGAGTTGTGAGTATTTTTTTCTTTTTTGTAAATAGTTTGAGTAATCACCCTAATTTGAACGTTTTTTTTTTTTGTTTTTTTTAGTCTAATTAAGAATAAAAAGGAAAGTTAAGAGAAAAAAAAGATCAAACAAATAAGAAATAATAAAGAATTTAAAGGTGGGGAGAGAAAGTCGTAAGACGAGCCAATATAATAATTAGGATTTTTTATTTTATTAATGTATAAATATTCATTGGTTTGATCTTATTTTTTTTTTTTATATATATATATATATATATATATATATATATATATATATATATATATATATACACCGTCTTGGCCTCGTGTAGGAAAAAAATCAGCACAACCAAGTATACCTGATTTATAAAATCAAATAGCCCAACTGGGTGCGGGTTGAATACTGATCATATTCGATCGGGTACAGACCCGATCGAATATGATCAGTTTATTTAGACCCGAAACTTCTAGTGGCATAAGAGCAATAGCATTGATGACGCACTTAGAGTCGTCACTTAAAAGTGTAATTTTAGCAATAACACAACTATCAAAATGCGTAAAAAAAAAAAAATTTAAAAAAACAGAACAAAAAAAAACAATCACTGGATTTTAAGACCAGCAGATTTTTTGTCGAAAACGAGCTCAGTGGCACTGACCGACTTCAGAGTTTCGCGTAATAACGTGAGCACCTTTTTTTAAATATATAATTTTTAAAATCAGTAATCTTAAAAATTTAGGAAGGTATTCGAAGTAATGTAATATTTTATTAAATTATGGGTACTGTTTAGTTTACATTATTCGGACTATTGTCAGTTATCTCCTGTTAATTCCCCTCTCCAAGTTCTCCAGTGCCTTAACCGGGTATTGAACTCTCACTCTTTGGGTCCTGTTACTGGATCTAACCAACGCCTTTATCCACTGTGCCATGTGTCCTTGAGTCCAATACCTGATTAAGGCAGTGGAAAACTTGGAGAGGGGAATTAACAGGAGATAACTGACTTCCATTAAATATGGCACGTGGAACTAGAACAGTCTACCCCAGTGAGCGAAATAAAGGGTTCAGTTCGACATTCCAACCACCTGAAGAAGGCCGGAGCGTACAACGGCCGAAACGTAATAAATATGGCGACAAAGATGAGGACAATAGTGCGAATAATATAAATAGTGTACATAATACCTCATCTCAGAAATATAGACAGATATTGAATTTTATGGGTACTTTAAATTTGTCTTATTTCCGGAGACGCTTGTTGAGGAAATGTTCGAAAATTACTAATAAATTTTAATTTACTTTAGTTACCACTCTTATTTTCTAATAATGTCGTGTTTGGACGCCCGTATTTATAAATATGAACACGTTTACACACACACAAATTCGACATACGTTTTAAAATACTGGTGTGTGTGTGGGGGGGGGTAACTGAATTTTAAGCTTTTCTATTTATGATTAGTAAATATAATTTTTACTTAATAACATTTAACCGCTTCAATACAAAATTTAAGATTTAAATCATTACGAATTATAATTAGAACTTAAAAACAATTCTTGCAAAAATTCATTATTCATCGAAAAATAATAAAAAAAAAATTAAGTGTCCATAATATATCTTTTTTATAAAATTAAGAGCTTCTCTAAATAATCTCTTAGTTTTACAGCATTTTTTAATTTACGATTCAGCGCAGATTTTCTGTAACTCTGAGGTCCTGTTTTACAAAAAAAAAAAAAAAATAAAAATAAATTCTCCAAGGACTGCTACTTATTACTAATATAAACATTAAACGCTACAAAAATGAATTTCTCGAAGTTTCATAAAATTAAATAAATGTGGGTAACCGATGTAAAAAAAAATTAACAAGATTTCCTAAGAAACGTTTCTATAATTTCATTCATTTGTGAATAAGTCGTAAAAGTTTCCTTAAAATCCGACAATTACTTGATTTTCATAAGATTTTTCTAAATCAATAAGTTTTTCACGGCAAAAATTTTCTATACTAATTTATGTTCACTCGTTGATGACGGAAAACAAATATTAGCCAAAATTTTGAAGGTTTTAAAATGGATTAATATATCCTTTAACAATAAAAAATACTTTGGCCTTTCATCTTAATAAAATTTTGACGATAAAAGTTCGTTTTTATTAAGTGTGGGGCATTTTTCCATCATTTATGTTCATTTTTTAGCGAATCTTTGGAGGTATCTAATTTACTTGGAGTAGTGTTTATATATATATATATATGAGATAGAAAGATTTCAGAATTTTATTATAGCAATAAAAAAGTTAGAATTATTTTACTTTTCATGATTAAAAAGAAAAGCGAAAAATAAAACAAACACAGGCAACCGGTTTTGCCCTCTCTAAATAGAGCTAGACCGATGGATTACATGTGGCAATAAAAATGATACGTAATATTTATAAAAGCGGAATACAATTTAAATTGAAATCTCGTTAACGAGCACTCCCATATACAGGGCCTTACGGCACGCTCCTTTTTACTGGAGCAAAGAAGAGGAATCATTTTATATTCAACCAGAGTGGAGTGTGAGCAGCTCTATTTGGGACTAAAGGGCGGGAGTTTTTGCACTCCAAATTTTTGCGCTCTGAATTTTTTTTAAATATTAGTTTGTATTCAACAATAAAAAAGAAAAGAAAGGAACATCTGAGCTAAACTCAGAGTTATTTTTATTATTATATATGTGGTAAGTGTATGGGGGAGAGACAGAGAGAGTGAGAAAGTGTGTGTGTGTGAGAGTTACACATGAAAATGGAAACAATTTCAACTTCTACCCGGGTTTTGGTAAAGAGTCAAGTGACTTTGACACTTAAGTGTTACCGTTCTGATGCCCGAGACATTTCTTTTAAGTTGCAGGAGACAGTCTGAAAAAAATGTCTTCAAAAGAGTCAGTCATTCCGTAGAAAGTCTTCGGTGTCATTTTTTAATGTGAGCGAGCGTTGGTGAGATAGAATAAAAACTAAAAACTAAATAAATACAGATTTATTGGCGAGGAGTAAGAAAGGTTTCAACTTTTGTTTTTTTTTTTTTTTTTTTTATGACAAATTTTTATTGCTGGATGAATAAATAAACCAATGTTTTCTTTTTAATTTACTGACAATTTATTTTTGTACACATTTTTCCATTATTACTAGTACAGTGTAACCCGGATATAAGAGAGTTGTCGGGACCGGTGAAGTCTCATATCCGGGTTTGGTCTATTTTATATACATTAACACAGGCTCTAATTTGGGACCAGAGAAAATCTCTCTTATATCCGGGTTACACTGTATTATCACGTGGACAATTTTCTCACAGATGAAGAAAACACTTCAACAAATATAGATACGATTTTAAATGTCAAATGCTAAAAATACAATGGAGCAAGAAGGAAGTTTTAAAAGAAATTAAGAACTATAATGAAACTGATACAATCATATAGAGACAAGTGAAACCACTATGGCACATAATGAGGAAAGAGAGCCTGAAGAATTTAATACTCAAAGGATACATTTAAGGTAAGAGAAGCAGCTGGTGTGGGGGGGGGGCACCTACTAACAGACTTGACAAATTTTGTGTAATGTCAGAATAGAAATAAAGAGAGATGGTAAAAGGGTTAAAAATTACTTAGAGCAACAAGAGACAGGATGTTGTGGAGGAACATTTCCCCGAAACAACTTTGCACATAAAAAAGAAGAATGAATTATATCAGACTAACTTCAATGAGAGCTGAGAGAGAGAGAGAGAGAGAGAGAGAGAGAGAGAGAGAGAGAGAGAGAGAATAAAAAGCTGTCTATATTGGTGAAGAAAGGTTTGAACTTTTTTGTTTTTATGACAAATTTTCATTGCTGAATGAAAAAATAAGCCGAGGTTTTCTTTTTAATTTACTAACAATTTACTTTTGTACACAATTTTGCCATTATTATCATTATCAACATTATTATTTTTTTAAAGAAAGTTATTAAAAAATAAATGAAGTCTTTACAGGAATTAACTTCCGTTGGAATTTCTTGCCTATTTCCCTCAATATTCGTCCAAATGTCGAATAAATTTGATTCTTGGTCTGAAATGATATTTTTTTGTGCTGAAGTAAAATTCTAATTTACTTTTTAACGTATATAAATTAGCCCTCTAAACCCACGATACGGACATTACGGTCTTGATATTGTCGCAGTGGGGCTTTTCTAGACCGCCCCATAGGTAATATTACTTTTTAGAAAAATATTGGGGAAGCAAGCCTAGGCTCCTAAGCACTCTCTTCTGCAAGTACGGCCCTGATATTGTTGTGGTGGGGTTTTATCTAGATCCCACGATTCTCAGTTATATAAAAATATAGATGAGGGGAGCTTAGCCCCCAAATTCCAACTCCAGAATCGACTTTTATTTAATAGTTACCGAATTTTTCTACCCTGTCTAAATTACCAAATCTTTCGTTACCGAATTTTTCTAAATTTATAAAATTGAACACTTATGCCAAATGTTTGGTGCCTCTAGAATTCGCTAACAGAAGATTCGGTTAGTTACTGAATCTCCAGTTACCAAATTTTCCGGGCACCACTGCAACAATATCAGGGTCGTACTTTCTGGATGGCGGAGTTAGGGGCTAAAATCTCCTCTAATATTTTTAAATATTTTTTTAAATAAGTAAAATCGATTTATCTAGGTTAAAGTTCTTTTATCTTTTCAAATTTAATAATTTAAAAAGAAAAAAAAAATACTGGGGAAGGGGGCCTAGCTCCCCACTAAACCTCCTTTCTGCATATGCGGCTGTTATTTTTGTAGGTTTTTCTGGACCCCACGATTTTCAATTATTTAAAAATATAGGAGGGGGATTAGCCCCCAAACCACCACTCCAGAACTGACTTAAAAATCAATTTTTATAGACTTTTTTTTTTTCCTAGTTACCGAATTTTCCTACCATGTTAAAATTATAGAATTTTCCGTTACCGAATTTTCCGGACACTATTATTATTTATAAAAATTTTATTATAAAAAAACAAAAACAAAAAAAAAATGTTTTAAGAGAAAGATTTTATAGATTTCAGCTGACAATAACGCTAGCTGTCCGACCAGTGAATACCAAATATTTCCTCTATGGAAACGGCTAATTTCTAAAATTATCATTTAAAGATGATGAATGAAATATTTACATGCCACTTATTGCACTGACGTAAAATCTTCATTCATAGAAAATATTGTAAAAGGTAATTACTAAATGTTAATCAAATTTCCAGTGAAGTTTAAGAATTCCGGTGTAAGCATAGATTCTCGATCGTCTCCCCCGAAAGCTGGGAAAGAGCCTGTTGCACGCTCACAAGGTAACAAGATAAAAGACAAACGCCACGTCGAAAAATAAGAACGCTAACCCTGTTTTCTCATATTATACGTAGAGGTATTATCCAGAATCAAGCCCGCTCACCTGGATACGTAGGTAGGTGACACTTTGGACAACTATGCCCATCCCATAAGATAAGCTCTTCCTCCCGACCAACTCCTCGCCCATCTACATATCCGGACGTGTGACTAGCAATACGAATGGGTGCCATCGAAACCAGACAACCAATGGACAAGTTCATCACTAGAACTCTCCGATCCTATGTATGGCTTAACAGCACCCGGATATCTACCATTTCTGGTTTTGCTGTTTAGCTTGTTACAAACTTAAACTTAATGGCTATAAAACAGAATTTGTGATCCATATGGACGTCCATAGCGTCACACGTCTATTTTTTTTGTCTGTGGTTGGTGTGGATTTATTTATTTTTTAATATCTCTACTTACTATCAATTAATCCTCCTTAGATATCGATAATCTATGGGATTATTCCGTTTCCGCTATTTGATATTTGCGTTCTTTAACATAAATAATTTATTTAATCTATATTATAAAAGAAAAGCCGATTCTCTGTCCGTCATGCATTGTCATGATTTTCCTCTACTATTAATTCTGGACAACTCCTACCCTAGTCTATGCAACAAAATCAAAATTGGAAACAAGGAAAAAAAATCAGATAATTGTAAGATTTTTGATTGATAAATAAATATATATATAATATATATATAATATATATATATAATATATATAAAATGGAGTCTCCCGTCGCTTTCGGCGTATGAGGATCTGACAGCTTACTTGATTCAGTTATGAAATTTTGTGCGATAATCTTAAGTGACATTTAAGACCCGCTAGTGATTTACAAAGGAGGCTACATATGGAGCAAGGGTGAGGATTGTGAGATGAGATCACTGTTAGATTGGCTAACCTTTTAGATCTTGCTCTCGCTTCGTGATGATTCAGACAAGCAGATTGAAAATTGCTGAATCCACTAAAACACGTTGATCTCCATTCTACCCGCTCCAAGGCTAAGCGCTCAAGGGTGTTATGTGGTATATTGACTACTGACAAGTTGCTTTTCAGCTTGTCTTTGTATCTTAGCCATGGGCGTCCTACATTCCTGTAGCCCTGATTTAACTGGCTGTACATTAGGATCTTGGGTATTCTGTCATCAGACATTCTCAAGACATGACCAGCATATTAATTATATGTATTTATTATGCTTTTCTAGTTTTACTCTTTTGGTTATTAATAAAGCTGACGGTAAACGAGAGTTCGTCTTCGAAGTTTTAATTGCCTAAAAGGCTGTCTTCGAAATTAACATGCGTACTCTCAGAGGCAGAATATATGCACGGGCACAGTCAGACCCCCATCCAAATGTATATACACTTCAGGAAACGACAAACTTGTATAGATATTGTAAATGTATTCAGACACCACAAGATTAATACAAGTTACATTTAAACTCTACAATCACAAAAGATGCTCAAAATGGTAGCCTTCAATTTCCAAGCATTTAATAATACAACAAACTAATGCTTGAACAACGGTGACCAAAGTGTCGAGTCTGATTCCTGTACATGCATTTTCAATTTTTTGACTATTGGCCAGGCTGCCAATATAATGTAGTCTGTCCAGAAAATATCGTACTATAGTAAACAGTGTTATCACAATTTGGTTGGTTTGGTTACGACATATCAACACCTCAATGGGTTATTTAATGCCGAAAAGATATTTTATTGCTGGTATTATTTTTTTTACAAGAATGTATTGTTGGTATTAAAACCTATTTTTACACTTTCATAGCGTCTTGAACCCAGTTTTGTTTTTTGTTTTTTACGGGTGGGGTAACTAATTGCCTATAACTGGGACCCCGGGTCAGGGTGAACCTGAGAACACCAGCAATTAATAGGTGGTTACACGCTCCTCAAAAACTCAGATGCTATACTGCCGGATGTAGTTTATCGTCATACCAAGCACACTCGCAATTTGATAAAACTACGAAAGACATGGTTTTCCTATCATTTAGTGTGTATACATTTTTGGTGGACATATCTATAATTCTTAAAGTGTGTGTGCGTGTGATCGGGTGTTGTTTATGTGTTTCCACAGTTTTCATTCAATTTCGATGAAATTTTTTGTTTGACAGATAATTCTTCATTGCCGGAATGGCTCTCCACTACTTCCTGTCCATTATAACTCTCAGCATCGTTTTCTGTTTACTATCTGTTCTTGGATATATATCTTTCATAAAGACTTTAATAAAAAATAAATACTTTAAATTATTACAATAATATTATCTATATCTAGAATTCTGAAAGTGTTTGTGTGATCGGATGTTGTTTATGCATGTCCAGTTTTCATCCGAACACTTCTTCGCACGAGGCTGAAAATGATCATCAAAGCACTCGACTGCTGAGGAGAAACGCTTCTCCAACTGGTGCTGCGCGTGAGGCTGAAACAAGATTGAGAACGCAAAAACGGCCCTTTTCAGACTCCCACCATTGTACCTCAGTTGCACCCAATTGTTGTTAATATTGATTTTCGGGTGGGCTGATTTTAAACTTAAACTGCTCCAATTGAACGGCTAAAATTCCCAGTAAATAAAAACACCCGGTCGAAGACTGGTTATACTGGTAGTGTATATATATATATATATTAGTGGCGGGGATGAGGGATGTAAAAGTCGGTTATAATTATGTACCAAAGGACATAGGAAAGCTAAATTTTAAAATTTCAGGCACCCGACATATGTAGACGCACAGCTCAGCCGATCTCTGGATTTCCGAAAAGCTTTTTTGTTTGGTGGTTTTAAAATATTCCACAATGTAATTACAGAAAATTTGTTAAGGAATGTGAAATGTAAGATCCTGGCCGCAAATTTAACGTGGATTCAGTTACGTTGTTACGATAAATTTGAGAGCTATATTGAATTATTTTATGCTGGAGCTATATTTTGCGCGCCTCTAGAGATTCTGGTCGGCCCTACAAAACGAGACAGTCCAAAGATTGTCAGGTTTGCAAATGGCGTGTGCATAATATTCAACACCTGTTTGTCACACATATACGCAAAATATGTTACGACGTTATTTTCTAAACAATGTTATTTTGGCAAAATTTCATGAGTTCATATTGATAAAATTCTGATAACCTAATTAAATGTAGTTTAAATTATTATATTGTCTTTCGTTAAAAAAAGGAAAAATAATTGATACCAGAGACACTCAAATTGTGACTAGGTAAGTCCAAAGATTGGTTTTAAATATATATATATATATATATATATATATATATATATATATATATATATATTATAAAGCTTAGCTACGTCAGAAACGAGGCTAAATCAGAAAGATAGTTATAGGTTAAGTTTGTTTGATTTTGCGACACATTAACATTGCTGGGTTATTTAATGCCGAATTTTGTATGAGGGTAATACTTTCCAATCAGTAGAAAGGGTCAAATAGACAAGAAATAGACAAGCTTTACAGATATGGAAATGATTTTACTCG